CACTGTAACTTCTCAATGACGACACGCGGGCACGGCTTCTTTATTTGAAACGGGCGATTTAATGAATGCCGTGAAAACTACAGAAACAAGACAGAAAGTACAGAAGTAAAACAAAAGGTTTCAGGTACAGTACTGAGAGACAAGTAAAACATGCTTTAACAAAGAAATACCTCATGGCCGCTCGTCATTAAAGAAGTCCTAAGCGAATGTTTCTCATCTTGCACATTCTAAATAAGTATATAAAACATCAGAACACCATAACTGACCGATGTACAATGTGTCACAACAGTTATAAATACCTTTACAGTTAGTGAACTATCGAGGCTGCTGCACGCCTCTCGTATCCTCAGGTAACTGCATGTAGCTTCAGGTAAATGTGTGTGTGTGTGTGTGTTGAGCACAAAATATCTCGCCTCTCTTCCGTTCACACAAATCTCACGATAACAGTACTCAGTCCTTCATGACAGAATAAATGCATCTTATACAAAATAAAACATATTTCACAGTGTGAACTAAACAAACTAAAAACAAAATATTCTAACTACTGAAAACAAATATGAACCCGTTTAAAACATAAATCAATCATTGTGGTGACACTTACACTCCCACCGAATCACCAATTGGTTCTCAATGTGATTTTCTTATAAGTGTCAAGATTAGTCCATGTTACTGTGCGTTTCAGTCTCAAGTAAAGTCACTACCTTGTGAATGGGTCTTTCTAGATATATTTACCTTGTCAGTGGTTTCACTGATCTTTGGTTTCACCTTTCGAACCTTGTCGTCTGGACGTTCTAGTCTCTACTACTATAAGTCGTTTCCATTTACTTATTGAAACATTATCACCTTGTAGGATCACACTGACGTTCGCTTGCAGTTTCCGTGAAACTCTTTGCCATTTCTGTCGCCTTTGGCGGTTTGTAGCCGTTCTGCATCTTCTACACTCATTATAGTGGTAGATGTAAGAAGAGACCATACTTCTACATCCCAAAATCCATATGCCATTTGCATGCAATTCATTCATAGTCATGGCTCTTCCTTGGTGATGAACATGTTCATGGTAGTGTTTGATGAGGAGGGTTGACACATGAGACTTCTTGGGGAGAATTGCGGGGTGCTTGACTTGATGTAAGGCTGATTGGGACAACTGTCCTCCCACCCTGAAAACATCAGACTTATCTAAGAAAGCATTTAGCTGCCTTAGTTTGTTATGCTTGTG